CAGCATGGCTGGCTGGGCAATTCTGGGAGTTGAAGTCCACTCATCTTAAAGTGGCCAAGTTTGGACAACACTGATGTAGATAGAGGTTTTCTGCATCATTGAGACAAGTGTGAACTTTGTCCAGATGGTTGACACCATACCTCTGGCAAGGTTGCTTTTTGAATGTTCATCACCTTCATTTCCCCCACAAGATGAACAATAAAGGGGATGAAACTTGGTATGGGAATTTTCTCAACAGGGAGGGGCAACGGCCTTTCATTATGAGAAATGGTGACCTCACCCCTTGGGAAAGTCAGGGAGTGTCCTACCTCAGCCCTCAGCTGAGGGTTGACTGAGTAGCTCTGGGAACATGCTGGATCAGAGGAACCAGAAACAGCTGTGAGATCTTCCATGGATGCAAAGGCTGAGGAGAGGATGAAGGCACGGGGTCGGGGGTGAGGAAAAAAGCACCAGCAAATAATGGGAGTGGTTCAACTAGATCATGAAATGTGGCCGACTAGGTGTAGCAAGCACAGCTAGGGGGCAGCACCTAACTCATCTTGGCAGGGCTCAGATGTTAAGCAGGGTTGGAGCTAATTAGTCTTTGGATGGGCGTGCACCAGGAAATGACTGCATGGTAGCCATGTGTCCGTGTGGCTACCAGGGGCCAAACTCAAGGGAACCTTCCATAGCAGGCAACAGCAACCTGGCTGAAGTTGGTGGATCTAAAAAACTAAGCAGAGTTTGCCCTGGTTACTGTTTGGATGGGAGAACACACACACACATGCGCGCAAGTACCAGTGCTGTAAGCTAGGCTGGATTGCAGAATTATTCTGGAAAAAGACCATGACTAATTCTTCTGTATTACTGCCTTGAAAAGCCCATGTGCATAACCAAGAAGTCACTGGGAACTGAGCTGACTCAGAGATTTTCCTTAGGAACTGCCAGATCAGTGTAGATACGATTACTACCCATGTAATCCAGTTCACAACCTGCAGGTTAGTCATTGTAGTAAACAGGGAAGGGACCTGCCTGAAGGAATGATTTTAACTGGGGATTTCCCAGCTGGTATTTTTAGCAAGAACTACACATGGCAAGCCTGGATTCGTAGCAGCTCTGCAGATCAAGTCTTTTCTTTCTCCCAAATAGTAGACCCAATCTAATAGCAGTTAACACCTGCAGTAACAAATAATCTCAGTCTAGAATCTTCCTCTTCTGAACCACGAGTCACACAGCTGAAACGTGGCCGTTTGCATGTCTTCTCCACTCAGTAATGGAAGCTCTGGAGAATTTGAAAGCCTCGAAATCTTTTGATGGTCTAAGCAAATCTATTAACCATCATGGAAGACAAAAGTCCACAGTGTGCGAAAAACCAATGGAATGATTGGAAACTAGATAGAGGTTTTTAAGTGGTGTTATTGCAGAAGCATGTTGGAGTAACATTTTCCAATAATTCATAGGTTGTGGCATAGATTCCTTAGGATTTCCATGACTTCTTCGCAGTGACCGAAAGCTACAAAATTTCATTTAACAGTTGTTTGTGTATACGCTTTGGTTAGTTTTGTAGAGTACAACTTTTTAAAAATGTTTGTAAATAAGTTGGTCAAACTTGTGTAAACATAGGCTTGGGCTGAAGAGACTCTAATAAACACATATTATTAAATACATTGCTTACAATGTTGTTCAGCGTTATTCATTTTTATTTTAATGTTAAAGATTAATTTCATTTAAATCAGGATTACTGAAATGTAAAAGGATATGTCCCTTCTCCACTGCAAAATAAATTATCCCATTGGTACAAATAGACTGTGTGCATGAGTGTGTGTAAAAATGTAAATTTGCTAATGGCTTCAGGAGAGAAAATTTAAAATTTATTCCCATTCTACGCTGGCATCTGCCAGTCCAGAATGGAAACTTCTCCATTTTCCGCTAAAATGCTTTGCAAAAATTGCTTTTCAATAAAAGCAGAATGCAGAATCACAAATCCAGATGTAAAGCAGATAATCTGTTTTCCTTTTTTTTTTTAATGCTTTGGTAGCAAACATAGATATCAATACATTCCCCCCCCCTTTTTTTTTGCCCTGTTCACCGAATACACAACAGCTTTAGGAATTATTTTGATTGGAGCAAATAGCACAGTATGAAAGATTCACTGACTCATTTTGATTGTTGGATTTGTTTCCTCCAGAGAGACTACACAGAGCTTCCCCCTCCATCTTTATCACCACAACAAGAACGCCGAGAGATAGGGTGGCCTGAAGTTACCCAGTGACCTTCCATAGCCAACGGTAGACTTCCCACTCACAATTCAACACCTTAATTGCTACATCACATGGACATTCCTACTTTAGTTCTGCTGGGTGCAGGAGTTGGCCCAACAGAATATACCCATATGTAGTTACTATCAAAAATGCAGGAAAGTCTGAGAGGATCTCCAGGATGATGCCTAGTTACAGTTTCTAAGATGTCTAGTTTGACCTTCGGGGCTGAAATTATCCAGCTAAACTAGATGGCATTGGAGAAATGGAAAGTGACAGGTTAGCAAACTGGGCTTTCAAATCATTACAAAAACCACCATCACTTAAACCTTTTAAAGAATATTTATTAGTTTTCCATCATCAAGTCCCCATGCAGATCCCCTGATATCTGAATGTTTTGCTCCAACTGGAAGGCATCTTGGTCAGATCTCAAAATTTTAGACCTGGCCTTTCATTAATCCAGTACAACAAAGACAGAAGAAATCAGTGATATCTGAAGAACAGACAACAGAAACAGCTACTAGGAGTAGGATTTTACATATTTGGGAGAAATTTAGAACTTGGCAGAGATACAACCCATGTTTGCATGGCAACATTAGCATTTGCAACAAAAAAGAAAGTGTGCTTTATTCTCCATGGTCTGAAGGTTGCGCTCTGATCTTCTTAACGGCATCAAGGACAGCATCAAGGCTAACTTTGTCTCCAAATTCTTTCTCACGATGCTCCAAGAAAACTCCCTAAAAAAGAAACAGAGCTCAGGAGCGCATTTTTCCCCAAAAACGACACTCAGATCACGGTTAACATTTCCACAATTTGCTTAGCTATCCCTTTCTGTGCTTAGACAGAACTTTATACCAAAGACAAGATTTTCAAACTCAAAATCATCATCATCATCAACAACATCTGGCCCTCCATGTTGGGTTTTACAAATTAAGCAGGAATCTGGTTTCATAAGTTCCTCATTTGTAACATTCTGCCACACGAGAGACAGGATTTACACCACCAACTGTAATTAAAACTAACATCTAAAAGAAGTGGAAACACACAGACACACACACATTCCTCTGTGATTTACTCAGCACTATCCCAACCTGGAATAGAAAGCTGATTGCCAAGGTCTTTTTGTGGGCTGAAAGCTGCAGACAAGCTCGTTTCCCAGAGCACAGAACATATACATTCACAGCCACATTTCTACACTCTCTACCTGTTTCCCTGGGCCGATCACAAAAACCCCTCCCAGGATAATGCCTTCTCCGTCCATGTTTCCGGTGAACCCGCTCCTCCAAGCGCGCCAGAAATTCCTCCAGACATTGCAGCGGAAAAGGGCCACGAACAACATCTTTCTTTTCAGAGGACCATAGAACTGTTTCTGTAACACGGGATTAGAAAAAAATCAGCTGCACACAGAGAGAGGGAATCTTCTTAGAGAATACCTACTGCAAGTGACCACATTTAGCCAACAGTTGCTGATCTTGAACAAACAGGATCAAATCTGATCAGTTTTTAAATGAGACACCGCCCAGATGCCCTGAGACTCTAGACTAGATTGGAAAGTGGTGCATGGTATGGCTCAGAAAGAATATAGGTGGGTTCATGTGTTCACCAGGAGACTTCACTTTTTTACCTAGTTAAAAAGGGGAATTTCCTTTTCCAGTCATCCTGTTATAACGGATGAATCCTTTGGGGGGTCTCTTTAAACACCTGGGGGGGGGTCCAAACTGCCTGGGTTACAGGGAGACAAATCCAGTTCACCTTGACCCAGAATTTGAATTCTGAGGCTACAGAATTCTAATTTCTTCTCCCACATCTAGGTCAGAACTATAATCCAGCTAAGTGCAGATCTTCACCTATTACAGCCTCACCCATCTTTCTTTTAAGCCTCTTAGCCACCATCCTATCTGCAGTTTGACCTATGCATTACTTGTAGCGGTGGTTCACCTCCACTAGCAGAATGTAAGGACGTGCCATGAACTACGTCTACCTCCTCATTGTTCACTGCTAATCGATGGCCTGGTCTTCTAGAAATACAACTTGGAGAAGAACCCAACCATCTCCTTCACCCAGAATCTGGGTAATTAAAATATTCATATTTGGGGCTTTGCCATTATTAAGTTTCCTATAGTAATAAAGTAGATAAAGTAAATAAACATGGCCATAGGAGCACAACTGAACATAGAAGAATCAGCACGTCCACTTTGTCTTGTTACAAACCCAGAAATGCAGACTCCTGCTCTCTATAAAAGCTTCTTTCTCCTCCAGACGTATCTGCAATGTGTACCGATCACCCCTCCCATTATCAGCACTGCAACTTTCTATTACTTCCCCGTTTATTAATGTCATTCTTTCAACTTTTGAGAAGACAGGAAGACTCAATGGGGAACACACCCCAAATTCTAGAAAGGATAAAAAGGGCAGGTGGGGTGAACAGCTGCTCTAGTCTTTTTTGTTGATCTAGCTGTGCATACTGGGAATCCTCCATGAGCAAGTCAACACTTCAAAGGCAAAGAGTGCTCTGTCTATGTCCACTAATGACACAATGGCCAAATCCAATTAACCTCTTAAAGAGCAGCTCGGTGAAGCTAATTTCCATGCCAGCAGATTCCCTTTACAAACCTTTATTATAGCAAAATCCATAGAAGTTCATCTAACGGGATCCACATTCCATGCCGTGAGACTTAATAGGAAACCACAGGCATGGAAGATCCATCTTATTCCTGGAATGTCTGTTTTGCATTCTTACATCCCAGACAGGACACTTTCTACAGTTTAAATTAACATCAACAAGCAATCTGCCTCTCTTGTAGAGAGAGCTCAAAGCATGTTGGTTTTCTCAAGTGTTTTAATATTACTATTCTAGATTCTATATATGTATTATTCTCTAAGCTGCCCACAGGTGTTAGGGGAGTGAGTGACACATGAAAGAAGGGAGGGAGGG